TTGAGACAATATCAATGCATAAAAATATAATAATAGCTGGGGACATAAATATAAATATTAGACCTAAAAATATGAAGCCATCGCAAGAATATAAGAATAGAATGAGCTATCTTAACATGTTGGCAGAATTTGAAATACTTCCAGGACATGTGCTACCTACAAGGAACCTCAACTGTTTGGATCACTTTATGCTCAAAATAGACAGTAAAAAGGAACTACCTTTCATAGCAATATTACATACCACCATTACAGACCATTTTACTACATTTTTATGCTTATCCAAAATTAAATATAATCAATTTTCAAATGAACAACTTGCTAAATCAGTTTCAAATAATAAGCTACTCTGGAAAAATATAAAAAAATATAACAAACTCGAACCAGTCGAAAAACCAAAGCACAGAATTATTAAATACTAAGCCCACCCCTACCGAAGCAGCAAATTTTGTTAATGAGTACTTTGTTAACATTGGTAAACAACTTGCTCAACAAATTAAAGATATTGCCTTGCATGACTCATATAACCTTTCTGACACACTGCCTGCACTGGGAAATTCCTTCATGCTCCTTGACACAGATCATGATGAAGTGGATAGAATCTTGATGGGCCTAAAATCTAACAGTGCACCAGGTTGGGATATTATTTCAACAAAGTATTTAAAATTTGTAAGATATGAAGTCGTTCCTATTATAACTCACCTTGCCAACCTTTGTTTTAATAAGGGGATATTCCCTACCCTGTTAAAGCAATCTATTATTATTCTGGTACACAAGGGTGGAGATAGGACGGAAGTGAATAATTATAGGCCCATATCCATATTACCTAGCATATCAAAAATTTTGGAAAAGCTTATTAATAATCGTTTAGTAAATTTTTTAAATAAATATAATATTTTGTCTCCTTCCCAATTTGGATTTAGAACGGGTAAATCCACAGAAGATGCTGTAACTTCTCTAAGCTCGCTAATAATTGAAGAAATTGATAATAAAAATAAATGTTTAACGGTGTTTCTTGATATCAAAAAAGCCTTTGACACCGTCTCTGTCCCTATCCTAGTAAATAAATTAGAAAAGGTTGGTATAAGGGGAGCACCATTAACTCTTTTTAAGATCTACCTCTCTAATAGGAAGCAGAGAGTAAAGTTGGAACAGTACTTAAGTGAAGATGCAGAAATAACATACGGAGTTCCACAGGGAAGCGTTTTGGGCCCTACATTATTTCTTGTATATATCAACGACCTTTGTAGCCTTAAAATAAATAACGCAAAAATCTTCTCCTATTCTGCAGTCGTCTTCTCTGGAAATTCCTGGAAAGATGTGAAAAATAGTACCGAAAATGGGATGGTTCAAATAGCTACTTGGTTAAAATATAACTTGCTTTCGCTGAACACAAATAAAACTAACAATATATGTTTCAGTATTTACAATAAAAATCAACCTGATGACAGATTTAGTATAAGGGTTCATGATTGTTGTAAGACCCAGGATAGTAACTGCAACTGCCCGATCATTAATAAAGTTACCCATACAAAGTACCTGGGTGTCATATTGGATCAGAGACTGTCCTGGTACCCACAGCTTGAGCAAGTTGCCGGAAGAGTCAGAAAGTTGATTTGGGTCTTTAGATCACTAAGGTATGTGGTTCCAGGTAATAATGAAAAAAATGGTGACCGGGAAACATCAAGAACAATTCTGAATGAGATATATATCGCCTTGGTTCAATCTGTCTTGAAATATTGCATTCATGTTTGGGGAGGTGCGGCAAAAACTAAGTTTATAGAGGTTGAGAGAGCACAATGTGCGCTTATTAAAGTTATGAACTTCAAAAATATTAGATACCCCACGGAAAGGCTTTATCTCGAGAGTGGGCTACTTTCGGTAAGGAAACTGTATATAAAACAGATCACACTCAATAAACAAAAAAATATACCCTACGATGCAAGTAAAAAAGGAAAAAAGAAGAAAAAAATAATGTGGCTTCAGTACCCCAAACTAAAACTAAGTTTGCTAGTACTCAATATAATAGTCGCTCGTCTCAAATTTATAACAAAATCAATAAAGAACTTGATATTTATTCGAAACAATATATCGAATGTAAAAAGGTAGTACAAAATTGGTTAGAGTCACTTAATTATGAGAACACTGAGCTGCTTTTACATACAGTAAAATAGTACACTCCATACCCACACACTCACATACAAACACATACACGCGCAAGCACGCACGCACACACACACACACACACACACACACACACACACACACACACACAGACACACACACACACACACACACACACACACACACACACACACACACACACACACACACATACATACACACGCACGCATACATACACACGCACGCTTTCGCATACATATAACAAATAACAATAATCTGAGGAAAAAAAACTGTAAATATTCCCTTTTAGTCTTTAAGTTTTTCTTTGTAATGTCATATTTCATAATGTAAATAATATAATATATAGCTATTGATATGGAAGAGCGGATTCACCTGGTACAGGCATTATTTGCTTAAAAGGAGAATCCGGCCACTAATGTCTGTAAACCAATTCTATTTGCTGAAATAAATTTTATTATTATTATTGTGGGGTATCTATATAGTTTTCTCATCTGGTTGGGTTCTATAAATATATAATTATAAATGAAAATGAAAAGATAAATATACATATATATCAATAACATAAAATAAATATAAAAATACATAAATAAATAAAAGCCCAACCAGATGGAGGCCCTCGGCAGGGGAGACCAAACGGCCGAGGGTTAGGGGGAAAGGGAAAGAAACCGGCGGACGATGCGGGCGGTATCGAGGAGCACCGCCTTCTGCATTTGAGCCCGGAGCGGTCCGCCACGTAGTCCCAGTCGCCTCAGATGACCCAAGAGGCTGACTGGGATTAGCCCGTTTGCAGAGACGACTACAGGAATAATTTCGGTCGGCAGACCACCCCACATGTCAGTCACCTCGTGAGCCAGGTCCAGATATTTTGTTTGCTTGTCTGCTTCGGCTTTCACGAGGTTCTCGTCATACGGAATGGTAATGTCGACCAAAAATATCCTTGACTGTGCCCGGTCCATCAGCACAATATCAGGCTTATTCGCAAGAATAGTCCTGTCTGTGATGATGGCCCGGTCCCAATAGAGCCTGGCGCGATCATTTTCGAGCACGGCTTCCGGCAAGTACTTGTAATACGGCAATTTCCGATCCACGAGACCGTATTTCAGAGCGAGCTCATGGTGAAGAATTCTGGCTACTAGGTTGTGCCTGTGCAAGTACTCAGAGTTAGAAAGCGCCGAACAACCGGAGATGACATGCCTAAGTGACTCACCGGGATGGCGACAAGCTCGAGAGATGTCCACGGTGCCATCCTTTAGGATGTATCTCCGATAGTTGTTGGTCTTAATAACCTGATCCTGTATTGCACAGACAAAACCCTCGGTTTCCCCGAAGAGATCACCAAAGCGTAGCCAGTGGAGGGAGGCTACTGTGTCTACGAAAGGCTCATGTAGAGCCTTGTAGAACCTCCCGTGGAGCTCCTTCTCCTTCCGTACGTTCTCCCGGTCGGAAATTGTCTGCACTGCCGGGTCTTGCCATTGCTCGTTGGCTAAGGATAGAGGGGTAAGTCCTTTATCACTAGAAATGACGCCCTTATAGAATGGATCATCCGATCTCGCCAGGAAGTAATTACGGAGGCTGCACACTTCGCGATTATGCATGGTGAGCGCGCTCAAGAAGCCACGCCCACCGTGCTTTCGCGGCAAGTACAGCCTCATTACCGATGATCTCGGATGATGCATCCTGTGGGACGTCATGGTAGTGCGGACTTTTCTATCCAGGGCGTTAAGTTCAGTCTGAGTCCACCTGAGTATGCCAAAGGTATACATGACAGGCATGACCCAGCCGTTATATGCGTGTGTCTTATTCACACCGGACAAAAGGCTGTTAAGCACTTTGGTCAAGCGTGCATAAAACACGTCGCAAACTGACTGTTTCATACCAGCCTCATCGATACCGATGTTCTGTGACATACCCAGGTATCGGTATGTTTCAGCCTCGGAAAGGGTCCTTAAGTTGACGGGCATAGATAAGTCTATGCCCTCAGAGTTAGCAACCCTCCCCCTTTCAACATGGAGGACCGCACACTTATCCGTTCCCAGCTCCATTCCAATAGAATTGCTAAATTCACAAGTGATGTTTAGCAATTCCATAAGATGGGAGCGACTGGAGGCGAATAACTTGAGGTCATCCATATAGAAAAGGTGGGTCACTTTTGTACCTCCTTTCCGAAGCTGAAATCCCCTCCCGGAGCCCTCCAGTAAAGTACTGAGAGGGTTCAGGGAGAGGCAAAACCAGATTGGACTCAGACAATCGCCCTGGAAGATACCCCTTCTTATCCTTATGTGGTTCTCCGCAGCCATCATCCGCTCGCCCAGATAGCAAAGGATCGTACTTCATTGCCCCATACACTGCTCGAGGAAGTCTCCAACTGTACAATCAATTTTGTACAGCTGGAGGACTCTCTTTAGCCATGTATGGGGCACCGAGTCGAATGCCTTTCTGTAGTCTATCCAGGCGGCGGAGAAATTCCGACGGTTGCGTTTCACCACGTTGCCAATGACCGCGTCAATGAGGAGTGGTTCCTTGGTTCCACGACCACCGCCCCGGCATCCATTTTGAGCGCGTGACATCACCTCATTTAGCTCCAGGTGACGAGTGATTCTCGCGCTCAAAATGGATGTCAGTGTCTTATATATGGTGGGTAGACACGTGATGGGGCGGTATTTGCTCGGGTCTGTGGTATCCTGATCTTTAGGAACCAAATGAGTGATCCCAGTAGTGAAGAGGCTCGGGAGCGACTTCTGATCGAGAGCCTCTTGAAACTGTCGGGCGAGCACAGCGTGACACACTACGAACCCCTTCAGCCAGTAATGATGCAGCCCGTCGAGCCCCGGACTTTTCCAGTTCGGGGCCCTACGGACCGCCTCAGCCACGTCTTCAGGCGTTATGGTGACGGGGTCCATAGGCGTAACACTTGCACTCTGGCTCGCCACAACTTCCATCCAAGGGCCCTCGCTGTGGTTTACGGGCTCTGACCACAGGCCACGCCAAAATGCGACAGTGTCAGCCTGATCCGGTCCTGGGCCCGCTCCACATACCTCTGGTCTCTCCAATGATTTATAGAGCCTCTTCTGATCACTCTGGAAGAGACGATTCTGGTTGAACCGCCTTGACCTCTCGCTAAATCGTCGAATCCGCTTCCCCCAAGCAGCGATTTTTTGCTTCAGGTCATCTATGCGCTCCGTTAGTTTTTGCGTGATATCCGGCTGGAACAAACTGATATTTGTCCCAGCAAACGCCATCCTAACGGTGCGCATAATCCTCGGTCTATTATTACCCGACCTGAAGCTTGTCAGTCTGCCGATAAGGGCCCTTGCCTTTGCGATACGGTCCTCAATTCTTTTTCTCCAGGCTGGGATGGCGCTACTTTTTTGAGTAGCACGTCCAGCCACGGGAAGTTTGGCGCCAATAATACGGCATACTGCCAGTGCGGCGCCAAAAAGAATTGAATCCGTCTCGGAAAGGTCCCGGCTGGCTTCCAAATAGGTCACCAGCATTGGGTTAAGAGCCCGCACGACAGCCCGATTTCGCTTGCTAAGGGGTATGCGGGGAAGTCGCGGTCGATTTTCGAGAGGCATGCTGCGCGTTTCCAGCATCGACTCTTCCAATATGCTCCTCATTTTCTCTAGTTCGTGGGAGACTATTCCATCATCGTCTGAATTAGCCACAAATGGAATGTTGACGGCAGCATCCACATATGCAGTTTGTTGCGCATCTAGTGGCTCCGCATTCTCAGCCGTAGCATTTCCATTCGATGAAGGAATAGCCTCACGTCGTAGTCGCTCGAGTTCGGCGTCACCAAATATGTTGGAGCGCAGGATGTACCTAACTCGGTCTGCCAGGTTTTGCTCAGTGACGGATAGAGATGGCTCCAGCTCTGCAAAAAAAGCATATATATATATATATATATGCTATATTATTATTATTATTATATACAGGCATGGAGCAGTCAAGATTCCAAGTCTTTTGAAATGTATGCGACATGATTCTTGTTTTTTTATCCGGACCATGGTTCTGATTTCCCTTTTTTGCAAAACAAAGGATTTGTGTACATTATATTTAAAGCTCTATAGCAAGTATCCTTCTTACAAGCGAGGACTATATTCAACAGTGGACTTTGATATGCTGTAATGATGTTGATGATGATGGTGGTGGAATTTTAAGCAACAAACAGTCAGTATATAACTATTTTTTTGATATTCGCTATGGCATACCCGCGAAAAACAATGTAATAGTCTCCATAAAGAAATCTATGTTTATATTTAAAGGTCTCCCGGATAGAACAAGGTTTAAAAAAATATCTAAGAAACGTGTCAATGTTAGTTAATTCAAATCATGTTATAAGTATTAGAAATTATTAAAATAATATTAGAGTTTAAAATCATTTAAACAACACGCATTGATCATAAGTGATCTTAGTGAGAATACTAGGTCATACTCATGAAATTATTTTGCACTCCTCTCCATGTATGCTCATTTGTTAGCGTGTTAAAATTAACGAAATTATACTTCTCCAGAAAAATAATCTTCATACATTTTCACTGTGGAGGGATATTATTATATATTATACTTATATCGTAATCTCGCTATGACTGACATTAGTTGTTTAGCCTCGTAATGTTTGCCATTACCATTAGATACATTTATGTAAGCTTATGCTAAGCCTGCTTAACGACGTCACAGCTGTATGCATACGACCTAACTAGATGTTAGCATTAAGCTATGAAAACTGCCACAGAATTTCTTTATATAGTTGTATTTTACAGTACAGTGTAGTGGCGGCGTAAGAATATCCATTACCTTCTACCGTACCCGTGGGTGTAGTTAGAGGTGACAGAGGTAAAACAAAATAGGAAATGGGCAGCAGCATCTTCCTGATAATAACTCAAATTAACAAAAAACTGCAGATGCTACCCTGTCTGCGAAGCCAGGCAAATATAGCAAACATTTATCTATGAAGAAATCTATGAAGAAACCTATGTTCTACTTTTATGGACTGTAATAGATGTTCTAAAACTTAAAGCAAAGTTACAGCCGTTCGTAAAACTGCTGGATGCAGACATCCTCTCATTTCTGAGAAGGTTATGGAGCACGTTATACGCCGAGTTGATCAAGCATGGTTGATGAATTATACATGTCCTCATAATAACTTATTTCTCAAACACGCAGATTTTCTCATAACGTTTTCCTTCACCGCCACGCACGTGGTAAATCACCACTTAGAACTGAAACTAAACTTGGTCCGCATCAATAACAGCTGGGATTGGCGGGATGTTTTTAATGAAACTTAATTGAGAAACGAACTTATTATCCATCAGATGGAAAGTGGCGACTGAATTCCATAGAACTGGAGTCCATACTGTTTGTCAGAGGTGCGTTATTTGTTACCTCTGATAATCAAAATGGAATGCCTCACAACATGTATTATTTTTAATTCTAATAATAAATAGCTATACACATCAGATCGGAACACAGCAGCAGGCTTTACGTGATTTTGTGTATTTTTACGTGGTAGAGCCACTCTGCAGCTTTATATTATACATGTAGTACGAATGGGTCGGCTCGACCGGGTTGGACGACGCTGTCACAAAATACTAACGTTAAATAGTAAAATAATGCTGTTATGTTTCATTCTGTGGGTGTAGAGAACCGTAGAACCTTTTCTTTAGTAACGAGATATTACAATAATTGTAATATCTTTCTAAATATTACAATACAATATACTAATAAACAATACTGTCTGCCGGTTATGATTAAGTCTCTACTCTAATACTATAGGATTTCGTTGATATAATAGGTCCCATTCTTGCAAAACTCATAAATCTATCGTTCACACAGAGTACGTTTCTCGAAAAACTAAAAACATCCATTGTGGGACCGCCCTATAAAAAGGTGATCATCACGAATTAACCCATTACGGATCTATTACACTTATACGATTTTTTGTAGCATGTATCAATGAATCCGCGTGCCTGTATCTGGCGTTATAGCTCCTGAACGGAAGAATGTGTGTCGGTGGATTGAGGCGCAGGGTGTGTACGGGTGGTGAGGCTGCCGGAATTGTGGGAGTGTTGTTATTGTGAGGCACAACTCAGCTTTTCCTCCGTAGCTAAATATTTGATTGTCTATCAGAACCGTTGGAGTCGGGATAGCTGGTGCTTTCGAGTACTCGTTTCTAGCAACATGGCCTTAGCGTTTCGGACTCGAAAGGGTACATTGAGCCCAGATTAAAAAAATGTAAGTTAGGATATAATTTTCAATAATGTGACTTTAGAATATTTACGGATTTAGTCGAAACAATTAGTAGAAACAAGTTGTGGTGTCGATTTTAATGATTTCCGTATATAGAGATAATTGCATACCTCGCTACGCTGCGTCTATTATTCATGAAAATGAGAAGAAACTTTTGTTTCACGTTATACAACTGCATTTGATGAATTGCTTTTGTAGCTGAGAGAGCGGTAACAGAGGGAATATGAGGGTTTTCTAAAATGCGCTCTAAATCGTCATTTTTGTTATTTTAATCGTTGTTTATTTTTATAACGTACGTAAAGTAAAGTAACGTAAAGTAAATTATTCTACTTTCCTTATTTTTACCTCTATATATTTCTTACATAAATTTATGGTATTCTTTGCGATTGCTATACAGAACTATGTGCTCGTTTTATAAACTACCTATGCTATTATAATATTAATTAAAAAGACGAAAAAGTAGATATACGCGTAGTGTCTGTCGCAGTTTCATCTCCGGTCAAAGCAACCTCATTTCGGAACTATTGGGATAAAAGAAAATGAAAACGAAATTTTTTAGTTTTATAAACGAAATTTTAATTTCTTATGTCAAAGAAATAAATATGGCTACTGTAACCGCTTTTACACCAGCAAATGTAGCAAAGCAAGCATAGATCTAATTTAAACTTATCTAAAACATCTTCAAACACTTAGTGAATTTAAGATTATGTACATTATTAACTTATTGTCTTAAAAGTAATTAACATGCTGTTGACAAGAAAACGCTACGCTTCATTTCAAAGCCCTAGCACAAAGTTTACAAATTTCATATATCATTATCTTATTAATTTCCTAATTTCCCACCTTTCCCTCAAAAAGAATGAAACGCAACGCATCTTACGAAGATAATTATTGACGCCAGCGCCACGTGATAACTTCAAAAACAAGAGTTATTTTATTATTATTTTAAATAATTTTCTAAAATTAGGTGTTAGAAACTTTTCCAATTAAAGTTAGATGTTTTCAAATTACGACTTTGTGAGAAAGAAACATTATAAATGTAGATAACGTCTGGAGCGACCTTGGACATATTCTCATACTTTGTCGAAAAGAGTGATGTATTTGGATTTTTATTTTAACTGTGCCAACGCTGATATTACTGTGTAACGGTGCTTTGGCTTGTTTCAAAGTAATTAAAAGTCAAAACTTTCATTAGCCTTGAACTTTGATTTTCTTGTTGGTATGTGCTAAATGAAAGTTCATTATTAAAGCACCACCCCGATATGTGTTCTTCCTCTAAACCAGAATTAAACCTAAAATTTATACTCTATGGTATAATATTTATAACATTAAAAATAATAAGCAGTGATCCAGATTTTGATACATATGTCTGTATTACTTATTATCTGTACATATAAATAAAATTAATGTCTGTATTAAAACAAAAATAACGGACGAAAATTAAAAAAAAATTGTCCGTCTGTCTACCCACGTTATAATCTTCGGAATGTCTGAACCGATTGTCATGAAACTTTACAAAAAACAAACAGATAGAAAGGAAAAGCCAGTAGGGATCTAGGCTATATTTAACACGATTAAAAAATAACTAAGTACTTATTGATAAAATAAATGGTCTTTAATTATCTAAGTATAAATAACGCCACAACAAGGGTTGCTAGTATATTATAATACTAACAATATTATATCCCAATCTGTTTTGTGACATATATTGTGTATTCATTTTATTTTCTCTTTTTTTTCTGTTAATTGCTACACCTACGACAAGCTCTCACCACTCCATGGGTAGACTGGTAGAGAATGCCTTAGGCATTAAGGCCGTCCTTCGCATCTTTTTTTATAAAGAGACGTTATAAAGATTTAAAAAAAATAGACCACAGAGTATAATCAGTACATTTTAATATTGACGATTATTTTCGCTGTCGCAAATACCACCGGCAGTTTCGCCACGCTCGCTGGTTTTTATATTTTAAATATTGCTTATAACTGTGTTTCTTATACTGAGTGATGAAAACTAGAGACTGAAGTTATATTTCTAACCAGTTATTCCTTCTCAGTACCCATTGAACTCATTAAATTTTTATTCTTAACTGAGTATGATTTAAGTGAACTGTAGATCTTTCTACAATAGACCATTAAATTGAATAAAGCTATAATATCGTCTAAAAGAAGTTACAGATTATATAAAAGCAATACAATTTATTTCATCTACGTTTCTTGCTAAAATATTTAAATGGAATTCATTCCATCGCTATTTTGTCAAAGTTAGAATAGAGCGATGAAATTTGAGAAATGTAATAAGCATCACGCTCATTTCAGTACCTAGTAGGACAAAATGGCTAAATTATAAGGTTGTTTCAGTTTCAAATTTCAATAAAATTTAAATATTTTTTCATTCAATTAATCTAGAGTGTTAACAAATACCAACGATCTAAGACAATACTTTTTAGGTCATATTATATACCTGGTAGAGCCATTCTGCAGGTATATTATAGTTGCAGCACAAAAAGGTCGACTCGACTGGGAAAGGACCATGCTCTAACATATGTAATAGCGGCGTAAAATAGCAGCTCAATGCCGCTGTGTTTCATATGATGAGTGAAGAGAACCCTTGACACTTTTTACTGAATACGGGGCATTACATCTTAGTCCTCAGGGTGACAGCGCTTCCGCGTTTTGATTCCTAACCAAGGATAGTCATGACCATAGGCCACAACATCTACTTTTTTTATAGTGTAATCTACAGTGGTAGAGCCACGCTGCAGCTTTGCTGTTGCACGTACGGGCCGGCTCAAACCGGGGTGGTACCATGACCTCACAGAATACCGGCGTGAAGTGGAAGCTCTCCTTTCGCGTTTCGTCTGGTGAGTGCAGGTGGCCGGAGGCCCAAATCCCCCCCTCCATCAACATGGTGGCGGAAGACTACTAGACTACCCCAGGAGGGTACCAGCACTCCTGGAGAATCCCTCGCTGAGCATCCACGAACATGTTTCTCCACTTCTGAGCGTGGGTGATCAGGCTGCCTCGCGTATTCTGGGGAGGGGGGGGAGGGGGGCAAAATTCCGCTCAAGACTACAACTGCTCGGGGAAAACTGAGCAACAAGACCAAGGCGACCCCTGCCACGCCATCCGTAAATTTCTGCAATATCAGGGGACTTCACTCTAACCTAAACGCCGTCCACTACCATCTCGAGACGACGAGGCCGGTTCTGCTCTTTCTGAGCGAGACGCAGGTATCCTCTCCGGCTGATGTCTAGTATCTCTCCTATCCGGGGTACACTCCTTTGTACCTCGGGCTGGAGTTTGCACTTACGTCAGAGAGGACATCTCTTCTCGACGCCTCGGCAGGCTTGAAGGTTCGGATTTGTCCATCCTTTGGCTACGCGTAGACAGCGACGACCATCCGCGCGTCTACGGGTGCCTCTATAGGTCCCATAGCGGTAATGCCGAAACAGACCGACTCTTCAACCACGTCTAAATGGCTACAGATACGTTGCTACAGCAGATCCCCTCCACAGAGATCGTGATCCTCGGCGACTCCCGACCGCGGTTTGCTTCTTGGCGGACGATCCCAACGTTGTTGCGGATTCTGTCGCTGATGTGGTACTTCAGGAAAATCTCAGCCATGGTTTGGTTGCTCTTGTAAAATAGCATCATGCTATAAGCTGGAGTGCTACCAAGCCTGGGCTGACGCATCAGCGTCCTAGGATGTAAACACCAGCGCTCTAAAAAAGAAGTATTCCGCCTCTAGGTCCTTTAAAAGAGTCATTGTCAAGACAAAGTCAGAGCACACAGGCAGAATTGGCGAGAACCTAGTTCGCCTTCCTTCTAGAATTATATAAATAATAATAATAGCATTCTGGTCTCTCGCCAAGGCTGTCCAGGGGAATTTCTGTCAGCCATCTCGTCCATCTCTGCACAGAGAGGACGACTCACTGGCCCATACCGCAAAGGAGAAAGCCCCCCAATTGTGCTGAGAACGTGTGTTCCAGAGTCGGCACCGGTTTTAACGCGTCTTTTCCGGTACTCCTACTCCATAGGCGTAGTCATATAATCATGGAAGACGGCTTTCATTCACCCGATCCCTAAAAAAGGCGACCGCTCAGTCCCGTCCAACTACCGGCCTATCGCCTACACCTCCTTGTTGTCCAAAACAATGGAGTCCATTGTAAACTGCCAGCTCATGAGGTAACTTAAGGAATACCAGCTGATTAGTGATCGCCAATACGGCTTTCGCCGTGGTCGATCAGCTGGTGATCTTCTGGTCTACCTAACTCATAGATGGGCGGAGGCAGTAGAGTCCAAGGGGGGAGGCATTGGCCGGTAGTTTGGACATTGCGAAGGCCTTCGATCGTGTTTGGCACAAAGCGCTTCTTTCGAAGCTCCCTTCCTATGGGCATCCCGAGAAATTGTGCGATTGGATCACCAGCTCTCTTGCAGATCGGAGCATCTAGTTCGTTGTAGACGGTGCAAGTTCTGATTGCAAGCCTATTAATGCTGGTGTTCCACAAGGCTGCATGCTATCGCCAATGCTGTTTCTTCTGCATATCAATGATATGTTACAAACCCGTAACATTCATTGCTATGCAGATGAAAGCACTGGTGATGCTCTTTACACCGGCTGAGCCAATATTTCTCGGGAATACGTCTCCGAGTACCGGGACAAACTTGTGTCTGAAGTCGAGTCTTTGCTGAACAGAGTCTCGGATTGGGGGCGACTAAATCTAGTCCGGTTTAACCCCCAGAAGGTACAAGTTTGCGCGTTAACCGCTAAAAAGAACCCCTTTGTCGTATCTTCTAAGTTTCAAGGCACTCCCCTTGTTGCTTCAGCCAGTATCGGAATCCTCGTCGTCGACATATCGAGTGACGTGCACTTTTATGGTCACTTGGAAGAGAAGGCCAAATTGGCCTCTAAAAAGCTTGGTGTGCTCAGCAGAGCGGGACAGTATTTCATGCCGGCACACCGCCTGCAACTTTACAAGACGCAGGTTCGGCCGCACATGGAATACTGTTCCCATCTCTGGGCTGGGGCTCTCCAGTACCAGCTCCTTCCACTTGACCGCATTCAGGGCACAGCGGCTCGAATCTTCGACGACCGAGGGCTTTCCGATCTGCTCGATTCACTGGTTCAGATGTTGCATCTCTTTGCATTTTCTTTCGCATATACCATGGAGAGTGCTCTGAGGAATTGTTCGGATTAATCCTAGCCGCCAAATTTCGTGAAAGCACTATGCGGCAAACGTCCTGATACCATCTACACCATCTGGATGCTTGGCGGTCCACCACTGTACGTTTCAAAGGGTGTTTTCTTCCGCTTACAACCTCTCTGTGGAATAGTTTACCACCGGCGATTTTTCTGGACCGACATGACCTGGGGACCTTCAAGAAAAGAGCTTACTTCTTTCTAAAGGGCCGACAACACACCTGCAATTCCCCTGGTGTTGCAGTTGATCATGGGCGGCGGTAGTCACTTAACATCAGGTGAGCCGCATGTGCGTTTGCCCCCTCTTCTATAAAAAAAATCTACTTAATATCAGATAGACTGTATATTCGTTTGTCATCCTCATTCTATAAAAAAAAATTATTATTGTTACAACCTCTTATGAGCCCTCTGCTAAACGTAGGTTAAACGCAACTAAAAGCCTCAAAGTACAGTCCTTTTTGCCACCTGTATCTATTAATTCCTCCTGTTGTGTTGCTCTCGCACTGCCCAGTAAAACACTGTACTTGTCGGTAAGAATTTACCACTCAAGTATCTTCCTTATCCATCAGTTTTCGCTTCATCGAGCTCTACTGCCAGCTTACTATCACTTTAGCTTAATATCCTCCAGACCGAATTTCGGTTACGGTAACCGGTCTCAAGAAGTTAGCCATTTACGCAGGACAGGATTGTACTGCGCGAGTTAATGCGCAAGCACAGGTGCATTTTCTATGCCCTAACTCTCTTAGTCCGATAAAAAGAAAATACACCACGATCGGAGAGAGATCAGGTTAAGAATTAATGTCTTTACGTGCGCGAATGAAACACTGCTAAATTCTTGATTCCGGGTTAGTACTGATAATTTTTTTGACAGAAAAAATTAAATAACTGATTTTGGCCAGAACCCGGATTCGAGACCGGGATCTTATAATTAACAATCGTGTTTACGACCACTAGCTACTACAAAAATAACGAGGCGGTCAACTTACTTTACTTACTTTAGCTAACTTATCCATTAAGCTGTGTCCATCTTTTTTGTTCATTTGTGTAATCCTCTTTACGGATCTTAACTCTTAGAAAGGTAGATAAGATCGTAGGGTAGAAAAAACGATGCTAGAAAGTTGAAAGTTGTAGCTCCCACATAACGCCGTTATTACCTTGTTTAGGAAATGAAGTCATTAGTTAGGAAACGACGTACTTATTTAGGAAATGACGTAATTATGAATATACATATGTGCTAAAATGCTTTTATGCTGACATTGATTAAATTTAAAAACTGTATTGTTTGTGATAGTATACTAATTTAAGAAAAAATTCTCTCGCATTTCCACATATTATGATTGTAGCACGTTGGCTTGACCGGGGAAAAACCACGCTCTCACAAAATATCAGCAAGAAATTGCAGCTTAATATTGCTCTGTTTCTTATGGTGATGGGGCATTCCATCTTATTCATCGGTGGTGACAACGCAATTTCATTCTTTGTTACCCCCAATGAATTGAACGAATGAAGGTCTCTGTGAGCCTCAGCATTCACTAACCATCAGGTGGACTGTTCTTGTTTTACGCTCGTTTATCGTCGTTCTATAAAAAAATCTGGGTTTAAATACCTCTCATGTTTATAAATTATTTACTTTTAACAGGAAGAGATACAGAACATAAACCAACAGATAGAGGAAAAAGATTTCTAGTGAAGGAGGAAGTTGTTGACGCTAACCCGCTTAAAAGCAAAACCAGTCTCCGCGTAAAATGGTTTCGGTTTAATCTATTGTGAGATAGAAAATGTTGTTCCCGCTATTTGAGTAGCTTCATTTGACACAGATAAAATTTCTATATAAAAACTATGAAATAGATAATAGAGTTGTAAAACTAAAAGTGAATGACTTGCTTTTTCTTAAACTTAAGTGTCAAACTAACTTCCAGTCCACCTGACGGTAAGTGGCTATTAAAGTTCATAGCCAACTTTAAGCAAAGGCGACTACAGATGCGTTGTCACCTTTTAGAAATGAGACGGCCTCACAGCCTATTATTATGCTGGCTGTCTATATCTGACCAGAATACAGCTGTGCAAGCACTACAATTTAGCGACAGAAAATGGAGTCCTAACAACTATTATATTTTACACATTATTTTACCATTTTGAATATAATTTGCAGTTCAGAAATACGCACTGTAATAGCACAGCGGACTATTTTGTATATAATTCACTAAAAAAATAAGAAGAGATCTGGCCTCTGCAGTGGGGAACTTCCTTTTACACTTGTAGGAATACAGTAGTTACATACATTGCGCTTAATTGAAACTTTTGCGCTTGTATCCGGAGATGATCGGCGACGAACGCCAGTCGTTCCCTGTCACTGCACACGCTAGGCTGCTAACACGTAGGAAGTATATTGTATCGCTGATAGCAAATATCTTAATCTGTAAATTGTGATTTCTGAATACAACATTAGTGACATGGACAACATGAGTGAGATTTTAATTAATGACCCCTATAGGCACCTTTGGCACCTTCTGTGAGTCATTTACGGGACTATCAGGTATAAGTAACTAGTACGTTAATAACCATACAACACGCCCCCGACGACCGCACATACTTTTCAAATAACGTACGTTTTTTATATAATTAAAGTGAAAAATTAACCTACAGACTAATGGTAAGTAGCTACTGCTGCCCATGGGCACCTGCAACCAATTACAAAACACGGCTACAGGTGGTTTGTCAACGCTGCATATGGATTACCTCACAGCCTGTAACTATTCAGGCTCTCTATTACCTTTAGACCGGAATGCGGCAGTATAAGGACTGCTGCTTGGCGGTAGCGGTAGCATAAGAGGTTAGTAGCTTCACCAAACGGAATCCTAAGCATAAGAGGTGTCCTACAGCGTACACAGAGATAACAATACATCGCAGAATCAAGGATTGTTTCGATTTTTTTTTTGGCATTAGTAGTAATATAGGAATTGTTAATCAATATTTCTTAATGAAATTAAGGGACAGTTCCAATACCGTCTTGTGATTTTGCGTCGATTTCGGCGATGGTAGTATGTGCAATGCTAGACGTCTTTTTTGACCCATGTTTCCAAATAGACTGTGATGTTTTTACAAAATGCTCACCGCAACGGAGCGTCGTCGCTGCGACGACGGAACGTTACGACTGCGTTGTAGCAATGCGGCGACGACGCAGCGCTAGTGTGGCCGGTAATGCGTCCAAATATTACGCAACGCGCTGTGTTAACTCACTCTGATGACAAATACGTAACGGCTCGTTCATTAAAATATTAATTCATTAAAGCTTACATCAAAGATCACTGCTGTAGGTAGGCCTACCCGTAGATTGCCTCATGATGAATATATTTGCTGTAGCTATAAACTTAGCAAGCGGGTTAACGAACGGCGTCTTTTATTTTCTGTTTGTTATCAGGAAGATGCTGTTGCCCATTTCGTGGTTTGCATCCTTCTGTTGCCTCTAATGACACTCACGGGATGATAAGGGGTAGTAGTAGATTTTGTTACTCCGCCATGGTCAATGCCTCGGTATCAGTAAAAAAGATTATCAAATGTCATGCTGTTACACTCGAGTCACTCAGCCAATCCTCGTGTGGATGCGTTCCAATGCAATAGCAACTTGCATCCAAAGGCGATGTTCTTGAACACACACAATCAGTCACGGCGGTACAGATCTATAAAACGTCGTTGGCATATACTGGCAAACTGTTATTGGTGCTGCCAAAATAAGCGTCGTTTGCCACCTGCGGTCACTATGGTTTTGTTTGAAATTGTTTACGATCATAATTATATATTTATATATATATTATTCTTTGACTGCATTGCTGGTCTTTTTATGTGCAGTGCTCTATTGCACCTTATGTTCATATATTCCGCCACCATTATATTAAGCAGATGGCTTTTCTCCGTAGGAATTGGGAACTGTGACTAAAGGCATAAGCTAAAAAATTCCAGATAAAATATGAATACATTCTTAGTTCAACTTGTTTACAGACATTCAACATTTTTAATACCCTTCTAACTTAATATTTACCGAACCCAATTCCGTTTAGTGGATACTTCGATGCGACAGGACAAGCAGAAAGTTTTGCGAAATTTTTTTTGATGAGGCACTGGTCAGACAAAATTTATTTTCAAAATGCAAGCAAACATATGAATGACCCAATTTCTATATTCCTTCGACATAATGATAATAAATATTGCCTATTAACTAATGAAATACCCTTAGATACGTTTAATTGAATTCGGAATATAACAATTACATCTTTTAAAGGATTCCTATTGAAACATCCTTATCTGTTACTGTATTTGAAAGGTAACATTGATTAATGTTGCTAATCTAATCATTCGATTACTTCGTTCAATCGTAATTCGAATGAAAGATTATTCATTAGTGCGGTGGTTTGTAAATGAAATGTAAACGACTGGGTGATCACTTCCGATGATAAGAGGGCTGGTTCTTTTCTGGTTCAAAGGCGGCGTAACACCATTCAGCCTGCATTGTTGGCACAGTGCCGCGGGGAGTAGAACTACATAATAATTTAAGTGTTCAACATTAGTTTTTTATTATGTTTTTTTATTATTTTGTTTATTAAAATTTTATGTTACTAATTTTAATTCATTTTTTTTAGTTTAATTTCCTTAGGTGGTTTTAACTAACGTAATATGTTTTTATGCTAACAGAAATATGTCCAACAACTGCTCAATAGTATTACGTCAATCCGTTGGCCAATAGACATCTCCTACTTAGCATCGATTTAGAAAAAAATGCACGGTCGTTACTCAGTTAACACCTATACGTCCCGCAGCTGAGCTCAGGCCTCCTCTTATGTCCAAGAGAGTTATTAAGCAATAAGTCCGTCGCGCTGCTCCAGTGTACCGTGTGGTGGCGATGTATGAATAACCACCACCCCATTTCATACTGTGGTTGTCGTAAGAGGCGATACAACTAATAATGAAAAAAAATAAGAAACTGCTTTCGCCAATCCGCTTGTTAAGCGTGGCAACTATGCTAAAAATCCCCTCTTCGTGGCAATCATAGGGACACGTCTATGTTCAGCAGTGGACTTTAATAGGCTGTTAGAGTAAATAAACTATCACAGCCCAAAAAAGAAACTAAATTGTATAAGACTAAGTGCATTTAATACATTACTTTATTAGTTAATACTAATATAATCCAATCCGCTAATATAATCCATCACATAATCAAAGCAAAATAGACCAATATTAACCGTTCAGATTTCAACAAAACCTATTTTCTTAATCACGCATTCTGATTGAGCGAAACGTTGCCGGACTGTGAACAGAAAAGAATACGTCCGATAGCAATACATTTATTCGAGGCACGTCCACATTCGGATACCTGGGGGCAAGAAGTAAAAGCAACTAAATTTCGTATACCCTTTGAACATAAGCGCTTGCAATTACATTCGTTAGATATAGAGAATGTTACGGTATATTTTTAACAGTGTACTGGCGGTGTAAGAATATCCATGCAATAGAATACCGGTACTCAGAAGGAGAATAAATTTGTTTTTGAAAGTTTTTAAATGTTTATTTCTTTTATTTTTTGAAGTAAAAGCTTCTTTAGAGTAGTAGTCATTTGAAACACGATAAAAGGAAAAACGACACTAAAAAGACAAACATATCCATCTATAGTATTTAGCCTTAAAGAATGAGATAAAATACATAAGCATGTTTGCATACATTTGCTTTTTTATTTTATTGGGACAAGAAACAGTTACAACTTAATGTAATACAAGACAATTTATTACAAGACAGCGTGTATTTTTTAGATGTAAGAAAAGTATTTTCTTTCACTAAAACGCATCGAATCAGATATTTGAAATATCGAATGTCTTTTCTTATATCTCTAATATTTGTATTCCATGCGAACGTGTAGGGTAATTAAACTAGAAGATATGGCATTTTGGGAATATAAAGATTATAATAGAAAAACGAAAGTATAAAATGCTTTAACTAAACATACGTGCGTGGTAGAGCCATGCTGCAGATATATTGTGGTTGTAGCCCGAATGGATTGGTTTCGACTGGAGCGTGATCGCGCTATCACGAAATAACGGCGTGAAATAGTAGGTCGTTGCTGCTGCTATGTTTGGTATGGTGGGTGTAAAGAGCCGGAAAAACCTTTTACTTGAAAAGAACTATCTTAGTCCGCGGGATTGGAATTAATTAAGGATAAATCTATAAGTCTATACCATCATCCACTTACCATTAGAATTTATATGTGCTTGCTTGTCACCTTTACACCATAAAAAAAAACAGGAATATAAAAATGAGATGAGAGATTATTACGAGTACATTTGGTTGTATATATATAAATACCGACCGTGTAGTGGAGCTGTAAGATTATTCACTAACCTAGAGCCATATATCGTCCCACGGGTGCTGTATGAGGCGACAAAAGGAAACTGGACCATCAGGAGAACTGTGTGCTCGTTTGTTACCCTAATTCTATTTAAAAAATGATGGGTAACAGTGTCTTCCTAATACCAAAAAAACTGGGTTTGCCAACTCGGCTACCAAGTATGAAAACTTTGGCAAATATCTCCCTTATGAGACAATTTATTAGGAATTCATACGGCTCCGTGGCGCAGTGTCTTAATAATGAGTGGCTGTGCTGAGGGCCGCGGGTTCGATCCCGCACGGAAGAAGTATTTATTTGGCCTACAAATAATGTTTCCGAGTCTGGATGTTTGTCCTTGTGCAATTTATGTTTGTAAACTGCTTCCTATAACCGTCAACGAGCAAAACCTGGCAGACCGAGTTCGGTATATCTTGCGCTCAAATATATTTGATGTCGCCGAACTCCAATGGCTACGACGTGAGGCTGTTCCCTCATCGGATGAAAATGATACGGCTGAGGATGCGGCGCCACAAATTGTAGAGCAACCCGCAAACGTGAATGCCACCGTGAATACCCCAGTTGTAGTTGATTCAAACGATGATGGAACAGTCGCCCAGGAACTGGAATTAGAGCATATGAGGAGTACATTGGAAGAGGCGATTGTGGTAAAGCGCAGTACGCCTCTCGAAAATCGAGACCGCGACTTCCCCGCATAGCCCTAAGCAAGCGTAATCGGGCTGTCGTGAGGGCTCTGAACCCAATGCTGGTGACCTATTTGGAAGCCAGCCGGGACCTTTACGAGACGAAATCAATTCTTTTTGGCGCCACGCTGGAAGTCTGCCGTATCATAGGCGCCAATGTTTCCACGGCTGGACGCGCTACTGGCCAAAGTAGCGCTATCCCAGCATGGAGAAGAAGAATTGAGGAACGTATCGCAAAGGCTAGAGCTCTCATCGGCAGACTGATATGCTTCAGATCAGGCAATAACAGGCCAAGAATTGTGGGCACCGTCAGGATGGCGTTTGTCCCAGCCGAATATAACGCAAAAACTGACGGAGCGGATAGATGATCTGAAGCAGAGAATCGCTGCTTAGGGAAAGCGGATTCGGTGATATACCGAGAGGTCGACACGGTTCGACCAGAATTGTCTCTTCCAGAGTGATCAGAAGAGGCTCTATGCATCATTGGAGCGACCAATGGTAAGTGGAACCGGCCCAGCACCGAATCAGGCCGACACTGTAGCAATCTGGCGCGACCTGTGGTCAAAGCCCGTAAACCACAGCAAGGGCCCTTGGACGGAAGTTGTGGCGAGTCAGTGTGCGAGTATAAAGCCCATGGACCCCGTCATTATAACACCGGATGACGTACCTGAGGCGGTCCGTAGGGCCCCGAACTGGAAAAGTCCGGGACTCGACGGGCTGCATCACTACTGGCTGAAGGGGTTCGTGGTTTGGGGGGTACCCGGGTACCACAGACCCGAGCAAATACCGCCCCATCACGTGTCTACCGACCATATACAAGATACTTACATCAATTTTGAGCGCGAGAATCACTCGTCACCTGGACTCAAATCAGGTGATGTGTCACGCTAAAAATTGGTGTCGGGGCGGTTGTCGTAGAACCAAGGAACCACTCCCCATTGACGCGGTCATTGGCAAAGTGGTGAAACGCAACCGTCGGAACTTCTCCGCCGCCTGGATAGACTACAGAAAGGCATTCGACTCGGTGCCCCATAAATGGTTAAAGAGAGTCCTCGAGCTGTACAAGATAGATTGTACAGTTAGAGACTTCCTCGAACAGTGTATGGGGCAGTGGAGTACGATCCTTTGTCATCTGGGTGAGCGGATGATAGCTGCGGAAAACCATATAAGGATAAGAAGGATCAAATCTGGACGTAAAATGGATAATACCTACGTACGCCAAATCACCAAAGTTGTATGGGTTACCAAAAATACACAAGCCCAATGCTCCATTACGCCCCATAGTGAGCCAAATCGATTCACCAACTTACAGATTGGCTCAACACTTAGCGAAAATACTCTCACCGCTCAGGGGACATACAAGAGCACACATAAAGGATTCCTACCATTTTGTCAGCGAGATTAAAGACCTACGTCTGGCAGACAATGAAACTATGGTCAGTTTTGATATGCAGTCATTGTTTACATGCTTACCTGTTGAAACTGCATCTCAATTGTAACTAGAAGGCTGGAAGAAAACAACATGCTCGTAGAATATGCAGTATTACTCAGACACTGCCTTACATCTGGCTACCAATTGTGGAAGGAGGAGTTCTACAAGCAAGTAGATGGTGTTGCGATGGGCTCACCTGTATCTTCCATTGTCACCGACATATTCATGGAAGACTTTGAGGAGAAAGCCCTGCTTACTTCTCCCATAAATCCAAGATTCTGCAAGCGGTACGTAGACGACACTTTCACAATTCTACCCTTAGATAAAGTAATTGCATTTTTAGACCAACTTAACTCTATAAATTCTAAAATTCTGTTCACAATGGAGTTAGAGGCAAATAATTCCTTAGCTTTTCTAGATGTGTTAGTAATTCGGAATCCTGATAACACCTTGAGCCATACTGTGTATAGAAAAAAAGACCCATACAGATAGATATTTAAACGGTGATTCTCACCACCATCCTTCACAGTTAGCTACCGTGGGTAAATCTTTGTTTCAGAGAGCACGAGGGATCTGTGACATTAAACACCTGGCTGCCGAGCTCCAACATGTCAAGCAAGTTTTGCATGACAACAAGCTTCGGGTCCCGCGCCTACGTCACAGAGAACGAGTGAAGCCGGCCACAGTCGATCGTGTACCTGCTGTACTGCCATATGTTAGAGGAGTCACTGACAAGATTGGCTACATCTTGAAGCGCGCTTCCATCAAAACATACTTCAAACCGCCGAAGAAGATTGGTCAGTTTTTACCATCAGTCAAGTGTAACGTCCCTCTGCAAGATGCAGGAGTGTACAAGCTTGATTGTGAATGTGTACTCTCCTACATAGGACAAACTAAAAGATCAATTAAAACTCGCGTCAAAGAACATATAGCTGATGTAATAATAATAATAATAATTTATTTTATTTTGATAAAATGTACAAATTATTCCAATAAGTCTTAACTTAAAAATAGTCTACAATAACAGGCACCTGAACTAGGATAAACCTGTATCTCAGGTGTATGTGCTAAAAGATACATTAACAAATATTTTCTGTTTCTTATATAAAATGAATAACGTACTAACTAATAAGGGTTATTTGGGTAAAATACATTATCATTAATTTACTTATGATATTAATTAACTTAAAACAATCAACAACTTCTCCGTATCATCGTATGACAAATTTTGTAACCATGTTCGAATTACCTTTTTTACAGTCTGCCATTTTTAATGGATATATATACAAAATTGCATTGACTTGATTATACAAAAAAGGGCCGAGAAATGTAAAAAATCTATGCATGAAATAATGCCTTATTCTAATGTTAGTTTCAATTACTTTATCTTTGCACCTTTTATCAGTGACCTCTCTTCTATAAGGCAATCTTAAGTGCTGATTTAGTAACATGCTCATAACAAATAACTGGCGCACTGAGAGGACATTATAGGATTTGTATAAGAGATGGGATGGAAATAGAATAGGGCGGAATGTTGCAACTTTTAATACAGCTCTTTGAGCGCGTTCCAGTGGTAGTAGTGTAGTTTTAGCTGCTCCACCCCAAGAGGTTATACAATTGGTGAGTATTGACTGACATAATGCGTAATATACTTGTTTTACTACCTTATTATCAGCAAAAGAACGAATTTTTTTTAAAACAAACATTAGTTTACGAACTCTATTGCATAGGTGGTTTATGTGGTTTTTAAATGTAAACGTAGAATCTATAATTATTCCAAGGTACTTAACAGTTTTTGTATTAGAAATAACTGGGCAGTAACATTTAGACTCTGTGACTGAGTAACATTGATGTGCATAAAGTTCTGGAATGGTTATATGCTGGGTTGAGCTGCGCATAGAAAAATGAATATATTTGGTTTTGTCCGTATTCAGTGTTAATATGTTTTGTTGGAGCCATTTATTAACTCTATCAAAACCGACGATGTGAACCGATGTGAAGAATCGACGCTCCGGGAAGTCTGCAGTCTGTGAACATGTACAGGATCGCCCCCGTCACTACATCAGATTTGATAGACCACAAATCCTTGCTAAAGAACACCGATTCCTTCCAAGAATGATTCGCGAGGCTATTGAAATCAAAAAACATCCTAATTTTAATAGAGAAGATGGCTGGGTGCTACCATCCGCTTGGGATCCTATAATAAATAAAATTAAATCCCAACCCAAACATACAACTGCAAGACTCCATGATACCATAAGTTCATACTGTGTAGATCGGAACAAAAGTTAAATTTTAATCTATGGTAACCGCGGTTAACTATGACAGCTGGACGTTGAACATCTCAGTCCTTCCCGTGACTATGGGTGCTGTAAAGCTCTCGAAATGTCGGGTATTTAGAAAGTTAAATATACGCGATAAAATCCGTAAAAACTAGTATTATTTCAATGTGTAGTGTTCGCGTAAATATAAGAAATCATAAGAAGGGGTATCTTCCAGGGCGATTGTCTGAGTCCAATCTGGTTCTGCCACTCTCTGAACCCTTTCAGTACCTTATTGGAGGGCTCCGGGAGGGGATATCAGCTACGGAAAGGAGAGACAAAAGTGACCCACCTTTTCTATATGGATGACCTCAAGTTATTCGCTTCCAGTCGCTCCCATCCTATGGAATTGCTTAACATCACTTGTGAATTTAGCAATTCCATTGGAATGGAGCTGGAGACGGATAAGTTTGCGGTCCTCCATGTTAAAAAGAGAAGGGTTACTAACTCTGAGGGCATAGACTTATCTATGCCCGTCAACTTAAGAACCCTTTCCGAGGCTGAAACATACCGATACCTGGGTATGTCACAGAACATCGGTATCGATGAGGCTGGTATGAAACAGTCAGTTTGCGACATGTTTTATGCACGCTTGACCAAAGTGCTTAACATCCTTTTGTCCGGTGTGAATAAGACACACGCATATAACGGCTGGGTCATGCCTGTCCTCATGTATACCTTTGGCATACTCAGGTGGACTCAGATTGAACTTAACGCCCTGGATAGAAAAGTCCGCACTACCATGACGTCCCTCAGGATGCATCATCCGAGATCGTCGGTAATGAGGCTGTACTTGCCGCGAAAGCATGGTGGGCGTGGCTTCCTGAGCGCGCTCGCTATGCATATTCGCGAAGTGTGCAGCCTCCGTGATTACTTCCTGGCGAGATCGGATGATCCATTCTACAAGGACGTCATTTCTTGTGATAAAGGACTTACCCCTCTATCCTTAGCCAACGAGCAATGGCAAGACCCGGCAGTGCAGAGCACTTCCGACCTGGAGACCGTATGGAAGGAGAAGGAGCTCTACGGGAGGTTTTACAAGGCACTACATGAACCTTTCGTAGATGCAGTAGCCTCCCTCCACTGGCTACGCTTTGGTGACCTCTTCGGGGAAACCGAGGGTTTTGTCTGTGCAATACAGGATCAGGTTATTAAGACCAACAATTATCTGAGATACATCCTAAAGGATGGCACCGTCGACATCTGTCGAGCTTGTCGCCATCCCGGTGAGTCACTTAGGCATGTCATCTCCGGTTGTTCGGCGCTTTCTAACTCTGAGTACTTGCACAGACACAACCTAGTAGCCAGAATTCTTCACCAGAAGCTTGCTCTGAAATACGGTCTCGTGGATCGGAAATTGCCGTATTACAAGTACTTGCTGGAAGCCGTGCTCGAAAATGATCGCGCCAGGCTCTATTGGGACCGGGCCATCATCACAGACAGGACCATTCTTGTGAATAAGCCTGATATTGTGCTGTTGGACCGGGCAAAGTCAACATTACCATTCCGTATGACGAGAACCTCGTGAAAGCCGCAACAGATAAACGAACAAAATATCTGGACCTGGCTCACGAGGTGACCGACATGTGGAGTGGTCTGATGACCGAAATTATTC